CACATCACTTAACAGCTTTGTTCTGTAAATACTCCTCAGACCTCTCAATTATTCTCAGAACTCTTTTGAAAAATCAAAAAAGTGGAATTAAACTAAAGAAGTCTCAGACTGTTTAAAATATTTTCAAATTTTTCCTTATTAAGTCGACAAAAATTCTTAGTTTGCTTTAGTCAGATTAAGACTATATATATATATATATATATATATATGTATAGAGAGAGAGAGAGAGAGAGAGAGAGAGAGAGAGAGAAAGAGAGAGAGAGAGAGTTAAATTAGGCTTAGTCACCAAAGTAGCAAATCCCTAGTGGTGTTTGCCTTTATTATTGTCATTTTATTTATGCAGAACATTTTCAATGATAAGATTGATTGTGAGTTACTAAATGTTAAAATACTACACATCCAACACAACTCAGCCTGACACTTTAAATTACCAAAATAAATCTATTATTAAAAACTCAGCTATCATCGGAACTATGTGATAGGCTATTTTATACTCAATTATCATAGGAACTTTGTGATGGGCTACTTTATAATGGTTGTTTCATAATACTCACTGCTTCCTAAAACCTTTATGTTTGTATTAATGTGTGATGTATTCTGAAATGATGACTGGTTTTATTTCTGTTACCTACAGTAAAATTTCCTGACATGCCTGATTTCTCTTTTGACTTATGTCTAAATGAAATTGAATATATTGTTCATGCTCCAGGCGAAACTTTCTCATTGTTGAAACAATTTCTAAGTCAGAAACCCAACGACAGAAAATTAGAATCCAGGATATGGATTTATTAATATAAATACATAGTGCCCATTACTGTTTTTTATTATAAAAGGGACTATTACTTGCTTTTGATTCCATATTATTAAGTATATTTATGACTTCTGGTACAGAAACTAGTTTTAAAGTTGGTTTAAGTCGATGGATGTATAGGTATACATTTATCTATTTACCTATCTGCATATCTGGGTGGGGTTTGGGAACAACACAAAACCTATTTAATTTTTTATATGGCCTTGCATCCCTTCCCCCATACCACAAAGAAAGATCATGCCACATTAGACTTTACTGTGACTAACGAGGCCTAACTTGCTCAGCCATAAACTCATTAAAAATAAAGATGTTCATGATTCTCCCAAATGTTAGCTACCGTAGCATATTTTCCTTTCAACTTTGAAATTAAAAGTAGAGAAGTATACTACAGAAGGAGAGGAAGTGTAAAAGCCCATCTGTGCCCAGTCACACAAATCTACAAAACCAAATTAAACTACGTTTTCTACTTCCTAAACACTTTTAGAAATTCCTATCTTTCTATTCTTACTAGTCCCTTTTTAACCCAGTCTTCTATTATTTAACTTAATAACTACCTAAGTGTGAAATCCATATCTCTATCTTTTACTGTTATCACAGAATCATTATCATCAGAATACCTCTGTAGTTATTTATCATCTATCATCTTCATGTCTATACTCTATTCTGCTCTCCCCCAGACACGTATGTGTGTATATTCCACTCATCTACATATCTGTCTGTTAATATATAGAAAGAGTTTGACTTCCCATTCTACTTAACGTTTCTCTTTCCTTAATTTTATATTTGAGATTTAAAACTTACTGATGAACGTTATTTTCTCCATGGACATCATTTCTTTTCACATTCTAAGCCTTGTTATTCCAGTCCCTATATCAGAAATACCATTGTCTTTTTTACGAGGAAGTCTTTTCACACAGAGAATTCATTCTTGGTCAATGTCTAGTCTGGGTATCCCACCCTGCTGTGCTCCTTCCTATATCCATTCTTTAATTAAAGCCAAAGAATATGATTTACAATGGCAGTGACCATGTTTTCTTTTTTCTGAACCATGCTTCTGTGCTATAGCTGAGTTAGCCATCAGCTATTAATAAATGTTTGTTGAATACAAGAATCACCATACATCATGATACATCTTTCACCCATGGTAACAAAGCAGAGGAAGCTGAGTCAGTTTGGATACTGACATTCTTAACTTCAGAAACAGGGAAGTGGGGATGGAAGATACAATAATAGCTCTATCTGAGAACGTAGCTGATATAAAAGTGTACAAACTGACTATATGAACCCACCTGCATGAGTCACCTAGTTTTTATTGAGTTGTGTCTGTCCCCTCAAGGGGTTGTGATGCGAGAACAATAGTGTTAATACCAGAAAATACCACTTTGGGACTATGGCCTGTCTATTTTTCATCTTTGTGTCATATTTGTGGTGGACTCACCACATAATGATTACATAAGTCCATGTGGCAGACTATCGGAGAAGCACACCACAGACAAAGAGAATGCTCAGGAATTCCTATCCATGTGATGTTTGTTTTCCTCTGTGTATGCCTCCAAAGCTATGGTGATTTGTAGAATGAAAAGACTTTTTAGAACAGCTGCAGACACAACATAACCTAATTGGTGATTTGTGCAGCATAGCAAACACTGAACTATTCATACATTGCTTTGCCCCTGCAGTTAAAGGGGTACCATACTCAGTTCAAGAGTCAGCTTCCATCTCTGACAACTGCTTTGGAAACAAACTGAGGGTCTTGTTCTGGGCTGAGACCCACAGTTCTGAGTCCCAGCACATTTATTGACATTTTGGTTCAAGGAATCATCTGCTAATCAACACTTTCCTGTGCATTGGGAAGGATTTCACCACAGTCTGACTTCTATTCGCTAGACCCTAGTTGCTTTACATCACAATGAAAAGTGAGGGCTAGTCAGTATGTCCTCACACTTTGTCAAAGGCCAAAATTCCCCATTAGCTAAGAGAACTGGTTTAATGATTCTGCTTTTTTTTTGGTATCACAGAATCCTGTGATTTATTCTGCCTCACCCAATCTGAATCACAACAAATGTCTTTAAAGTCCAGATCCACTGATCCACAGCTATGGAGCCACGTCATTCTGCAACCAGGAACTAGGAAGTGATTTTTTTTCTTATCTTTTGCTTTAGTTAAGTTTTTGCTGCTGTTTCTCCTGAGAGAAGTATATAATAGATCAGGGCTCAATAAAGACAAATATGTATTTTGAGTTAGGCAAAGAGGTCTGTCACATGGCAGACAAACAGCCACATAGCAGAGGAGACTTTTGGAGGAAGAGTGAAAAGCCAATATGACTGGAGAAAGCATCCTTTGGCTCCGGCTGGTATCTGAGTCAAAAACATAAGTGAAGAAGAAAAAGAGGAAATGTTTTAAAAGTCATATAAGACACAACCTCATCTTCTCAAACCTCAGTGAAACTGTGCAGCAGGGATCCAGCTTTCTTTCCAGAACTTTCTAACGTGTACACGATGTGGTGACAGTGAAAAATTAAAAAGTAATCTAAAACAAACATGGAGCAATATTATAAATATATATTATATTAATCATAATCCTCAGCTCCCTAAAATAATTCTAAGTTATCTTGTAGTTGAAAAATTGAAGAACTAATATTATATTAAGTTTATGGAGTTGAAGATGAATCAAACAGGATTAAGCTCCAATTATACTGCATTTTCCTGGTACAGTGAACAGACAAACAAAGTTTTAAGCCCTGATTTATTGCAGGATGATATTAAAATTGTACATGAATATCAATTAAAAAGATAATTATTTTTTTAAGTAACCTTTAGATTCTGTCTCTCCAAAAAGCATTTATGTTGTTTTCTAAGATAACTGTGGTTTTCTTAATATTGAATATCTGTGTTTTAGGAATTGTACTTGGATGCGATGTGAAGTAAGTTATATATATGTATTTCCAAATAATCCTGTAAAATGAGTATTATCCTTTTTAAATTACTTATTTTATTTTTTGATATTATAATATAATTACATCATTTCTCTCTTCCCTTTCCATCTTCCAATTCCTTCCATAAACCATCTCTCTATTTTTTAAATTATGGTTTTATTTTAAATTAATTATTGTTACACACACACACACACACACACACATATATATATATACATTTATAAATGCATAACTACAACCTGTGTCAACAATATAAGGATTTACAATAGTAACAACCACCACAAAGTTGTACTGTTTGTTGTCTGCCAGGAGGGAGCTCCAGAGGCATGTACTCCTTGCTATGCAATGCATGATGGATCTTCCCCTCTGGAATACTCCAATCTTGGAAAGGATATACTCTAGAATTCATAAATTAAAATAAATACTTTTACTGGCATTAAATTGGACATATCTAGTCAAATGTCCATGTTTAACTTCTAAAGATCCCTGGTGATGTATTTCAAGAAGGACAGCTGGGAGTCTGAGAACAGCAGAAGTAGCACAGTTATTATCCGCATATTATAGGTGAAAAGTCTCTCACTGGAAGGCAGTTAACCTGTCCACATTCACAAAGGCAGCAAGTATCTCAATAGCATTCAAACCTAGATATTCCAATCTTATGAAATACTAATTATTCTCTACAATCAAACATAATGTCTTAAAATAACTATTTAGTTCAAGATTCTGTAGGTTGGCCTCACCTGAATGATTTTTTTCAGTGAAGTCTGATTTCTCTGAACTCTGTGTAACATCAGGGGGCCTGTTTTTTGGGGGTTTTCTGTCCCGTTCAGTTCCCCCAGCCGGCAGACCCCAGAGAAAATCAACCACAAAGAGATTTCTGTAAGTTATAAAGCTGATTGGCCCGTTAGGTCAGGCTACTTATAAGTTAACTCTCACATCTTGATTAACCCATTTTTTCTGATCTATTTTAGCCATGTGGCTCAGTACCTTTTTAAGTGGGGCAGCTCACATCCTGCTGCTTCGGTGATCTGGGTAGGAGTGGGAGGAATCAATTTCCTCCTCTCCAGAATTCTCCTGCTCCCCTTGCATCATTTCCACTTCCTGTCTGTTTTTCCCACCTACACCTCCTGCCTGGCCAATCAGTGTTTATTTAAAACATGATTGACAGAATACAGACAATTCTCCCACACCAACTCTGTTTCTTCCTAAGGATGTGGTCAGGTGGGAGCCAGGCATAGAATGTTTTTAAACAGGTCAGGTCAGCAATTCCTTTTCTGCTTTCCATGGTACCTGAACCTTACAGGTCAGTCTTGACTTATTGTCATGGATGAAGTAGGACCCTAAAGGGAGATGAGATATGCAAGAACAAGTTATTAAAGCTCCTCTTCCTCCATATACCCCTGACCTAAATCAATCAAAAGTTGACATATCTCCAATTTCATCTCTTGGAGTGTGCAACAAATAATGATCTTGTAAAGGACACCGAGGATCTGAGTGTGGTGGTACACATATATATCCCTGCACAAGATGAGGGCTGAAGTAGGAAGATAAGTTCACAGATAGCCTTGGAAAATAGGAGCATTAGTAAAATGAAAAGCATTCTGGCTTAATTTGCTTCCTTAGCCACCATCTCTGAGTTTAATGACTGCTTGCTGTATCACAGGTATAGCTCAATGGCATGCTTCCAAATTTTTATTTGTGTAAACTTATGATCTATTCTGCGTTATTTTAATAGCACATTTCATTTATTTTTATGAGGCCCTAAAGAGCATGATCAAAGTAAAAAAAAAATGTGGTTTGCTGTATCTAATTATTTCTTTTCAAAACAGTTGTAAAAATAGCACATTTAGTAATTATCCATACCATGACATTATTGCAACATTTCAAAACTCTCCACTGGAGCTCAAATATGAAAAAAAAAAAACAACAAGTCAATATCACGGCAAGCAGAGATTTGCATGGTGCACTCTGAATAGGAATGCCCCACATAGGTTCATATATTTGAATGTTTAGTTATAAGGAAAGGTGGTCCTTATAAAGGATTAGGAGATGGGGCCTTGTTTGGGTAGGTATGACCTTGTTGGAGATGTCACAAGTGTAGACTTTGAGGTTTCAAGCCAGAACCAGTGTTTTTCTTTCTTTCTGCTGCCTTCAGATCTGGATGTCAAACTCTCTGCTATTCTCCAACACATCGTCTGACTGCATGGACCTATAGTTCCCACCATTAACTACATGGATGAAACATCTGAAATTATTAATAGGTCTCAAGTAAATACCTTCTTTTATAAGATTTGTCATGATCATGGTGTCTTTTTCTAGCAATAGAATATTTATGAGACACATGAAAATCATTAAAGTATTGAATTGGTACTTTTGACATTTCTGGTACTTCTTCGGAAAAAGTCTAGCTAGGTAGATTTGATCTTCATTAAAAAAATAATGCTTCACAATATTTTTATTATTTCTAATTCAGCTAATTTAGAACTGTGTCTCTACTACCCTTAGTCTTAATGTCCTTCAGCATTCTTCCTTGTCTAATAAAGCCCAGTTAAGAGGTTTGCTGGCACTGGGAAGATGGCTCAGCAGTTAAGAACTCAGTCTCTTGCAGATGGGTTTGATTTCCTGGTACTCAATTCTATTACCTCCCAACTCCTTTTCTATGGACTCTAATACCCTCTACTGGCCTTTGTGGACAATTGCACTCACAAGTACACACACACACACACACACACACACACACACACACACACACACACACACCTTTTTTTTTTCAAAAGAAAAATAAGCTTTTACAAAATAGATTTCTTTCAGGGTTAAAAGGCTTATGGTCTATATCCTAATACTACCATTTAATTATTATCTTTGCTTCATGGCATATGTCTGCAATTCTAGCACTCCAGGAGTGGACACAAGGAGATTTTTGCAAGTCTGAGGCCAAGCTGGGTTGTATAGTAAGCATCAAGGAAGTCAGAGTTGTCTAAGAAAGCTCAAAGACTAAAACCAAATAACAACAAAATACATTGAGGCTTCAGGTAAGTTATTTGACTTCCATAATTCTATTGGCATTTATCACAGACAGTACTCATATTTCTGCTGGTAAGAGAGATAGCCCACAGCCTGTGGCAATCACTGGACCAACATTTGGTCTACAAATTTCAGTCTTAACTTGATAAGCATATAATAAGCACACATTAGAAGTTTAATAGAAAAAATACTTAAATATTTGAAGATATGCTGCATTTTCATGACAATTTTGAAATTAATGCATTCTTTTTTAACATTTATTAAAATATTTTATGTTCACCATCTTTCAAACAATGCTAGCTTCCTTCCAAATTATGTAAGTAATAAGAAAAGTCTTCTTTGCCTGATACTTCCTTTCTGTCCATCTAACTCAAGGAAAGAATTTTCCTCCCATTGTTCCCTTTTTTTTAAATTTATTTTTTTATTATGTATATAGTGTTCTGAGCACCAAATCTCATTACAGCTGGGTGTGAGTCATCATGTGGTTGCTGGGAATTGAACTCAGGACCTCCGGAACAGCAGTCAGTTTTCTTAACCTCTGAGCCATCCAGCCATTGTTCCCTTTACTCTGGTAGAATAAATCTACCAAATGGACCAATTATCTTTTGGTACTCAGCGTCTGACATTTCACCAGGTAGTTAACCTTTGGAAGTTATACTCCAAAGAGTGAAGGCAGAATTAGAAGGCAAGGTAGTCAGAGGACTTCAAGCCAGTCAGATAGAAATTCAGGACTGTCTCTCTCCTAAAGCAATGGAGATAGCAATGTCACTGAAAACCAAACTAAGTTAACAACTATTTCCAAGTGGGAACCAGTTTCAGAGAGTGAATGGTGCTGCCTGTGCAGATGAAGGGAAGATACGCAGCTCACTGGCATTTTCATCGCCACCAGTGTAGAAAGGTCCTCAGATAAAGTACCCTCTAAATCCAAAGATGTCAATCATGCCATAGATTAGTTTTGCTTATCCATTCTTTACCCCCTTTCTAAAATTATAATGAGAGCCTTGTGAGAGAACTCTGCATACAAAGGTGCTTGCCACCAAGCTTGTCTACATGAACACGATCCTAGGGAATCAGGTGGTAGAAGGAGAGAAATGACTCCCCCAAGTTGCCTTCTGACTTGTGTGCGTGCGCGCCCACACACACACACACACACACACACACACACACACACACAGAGAGAGAGAGAGAGAGACAGACAGACAGACAGACAGACAGACAGACAGAGACAGAGAGAAAGAGAGAAGAGAACTAACTAAATATAACAAGATATTCTTAAAATAAAATGAAACTTATTCTTCCTTTATTGTTATATTTTTCAATAGAGATTTTTCATACTAATTTTAATGTAAAGCCTATAATAATGATAGTAGCTGCTAGTACTATGTGTCAGATACTTTTTCAGAATTAAAAAGACATTAAAATTTATTTTTGGAGGAAGTTTTATATTTATGTCAAAATTGGATGGAAAACTATGGGGAACCTGCGACTTTTGTTTTGCTAGATTAACGTGCTGTCAGCCTGCTTCCCAGATACTCCAGTTTATGGCCATAGACCAGTTTTGCCCACAATATCACTCAGAACAGCTTTGGTTTTAAGACAATGAATGGTGGCTATTCACAGTGTTAAGAATATGTGATTGTTGAGTGCACAATCCCAAACAGAACACCTATTTCACCCTATCTAAGACTCAGGAAACTTTGTGGAAGCTACGATAGAAAGAATGTAATCGCCTGATGATAGGGAGTAAGCCTGTGAAAGATAATCTGAACATGACAGTTTTCACTCTTTAACACATATCAGTTAAAGCTGCCTGCACTGAGACTGTAAGAGATTGACCACTTTAAATCTTCCATCATGGGTTGGGAGGAGATCTTGCTCCTCTCCAGGAAGCTACTGGCAGATGGTGGCGGCTGAAGGGGTCATTGTCTTCAGTGCTATTAACTGCCAATGAGTCACCACAAGTTCCAGTGGATATCACTCCTCTTCCTCCCTCACTGTAGCATGAATAATAAAAACCCAGAGACAGATATTAGGGTTAAAGTTGAAGAACAAAAAAGCAAAGCAGCCAAACCACTAGAGTGTCCTCACCTCTACCAAGGCTCAGACAAACAAAAGGGTGATACTATCCTCAACATTACTACAGACTTCAGTGCTCTCTACCAAACATCAAAAGTAAGCTGAGTTACTATCTCCCTTCCATTATAGCCCTCTTTCCACCCAGCCTTATCACTCCTATCTCTACCTTCCTAGTGCTGGGATTAAAGGCCTATGATTCCAAGTGTTGGGATCACCTTTGTGTAATCTCTGATTCTTTTCTAGACAGATTCAATCTTGTATAGCCCAGGATGGACCTGAAATCACAGAAATCTCTCTGCTTCTGTCTCCTGAGTCCTGGGATTAAATGTGTGTTCCACAACTCCCTGGCTTAGCTCTACACCCTGATCTTCAGGCAGGCTTTATTTGTCAAAAGATCAACAAAATGTCTCTTGTTGACCTATATTCATTAGTCCACAACCTACTTTTGCCACACCTTCTACTTAATCCAGAAGGGAGGGGTGTTCTGTTTGGATTATGATTGGAATAAGCATTGTTCTAGTAATACCCTGTTTACAAGCCCCTTTTAGGTGACCTTGTTTGTCACAATTATAACACTTGACATTTAGATTTTTCTTCAAACCTCTGTAAATTACCTCTCTTATCCAAGTCTCATCATGGTCATGAGAATCAATATTGATTGTATCTTAGACCCATTCTTTTAAGGTGCTGACCTTACCTTTAAAGGCCTAATTATCCTTTTGCATTGAGAATTATTATATTCAAATGATGGGGAAGCTCAGCCAATCACATTTGGCTAGGGTGTGGCCGCCTGGGGGATTGGGTGCCCGACCCTTTGTTTTCTCTCTTTCTCCACTGTGCATAATTCTCGCTGGACCTCGGTCATGTGAGTCTCTCTTTATTTTATTTATTTTTTTTTTCTTCCCAAATCACAACTTTATTGGAGCACTCGGTTGAAGGGGGAATGGGCGACGAGAGAGGACGAGAAAGGGAGAGCAGGAGAAGGCAAGAGGGAAAAAGCGAGAGTGCTTGGCCCATTAGCTCTAGCTTCTTATTGGCTATCTCTTACATATTAATTTAACACATTTCTATTAATCTGTGTTTTGCCACGTGGCTTATCAGCAAAATTTTAGCATCCTTGACTCTGGCAGCAGTTCCAGGGCTTCTCTTGACTTCCCCCTTCTTCCTCCCCACATTGAGCTTAGTTTTCTCCTCCTAGCTAAGTTCTGCCCTGCGATAGGTCCAAAGCAGTATCTTTTAT